AGTTAATCTTGTATCCTCCTACATTGCTGAAAGTGTTTATGAGTTGTAGAACTTCCTTGGTAGACTTTTTGGGATCCCTTATGTAAAGTATCATATCATCAGCAAACAGTGAGAGTCTGACTTCTTCTTTTCCAATTTGTTTCCCCTTGATCTCACTTTGGTGTCTTATTGCTCTAGCTAGGACCTCAAGAACTATATTGAATAGGTATGGAGAGAGTGGACAACCTTGCTTGTTCCTGATTTCAGTGGAATCGCTGGGAGTTTCTCTCCATTTGGTTTGATGTTGACTGTTGGCTTGCTGTATATTGCCTTAATTATGTTTAGGTATGTTCCTTGTATCCCTGCTCTCTCCAAGACCTTTATCACGAAGGGATGTTGTATTTTGTCAAATGTTTTTTTCAGCAGACAGATTCAAATTTTATTTGGAGAAACAGAAACAATGTGATAGAATGTGAGTTCAGGCACTGTGGTGACCATAAACATGCCTGATCTGTTGGTATGGTTTATTATTAAAGGTTTGGGGGACGGCTCTTCTGTTTGGAAGGGGGAAGGAAGAACACAGACTTGTCAAACCCCAACTTCACCCCCATAGAGCTGCCTCCCTTACTAGGCCAATAAGAGGAATAGAAAAGGCTCCCCCAAACTGAGTCATCTTCCTTATGACTTCCAACGATGTAGATATTTGCATTTCCATTAGAGTTGAGAGGACATCCCTATACGTCACATTAGTCAGGGGATGTTACGTTAGCATCAGTGTCAGACAGTGATAGGTTCTAACCCACTTCTGCCATCAAGAGCTCTTCAGTTGGTCCCTGGGTCTATGCATTCCACAGTTGGGAGTTTAAATAACTGAAGACAAAATGTACTAAAACACAAAACTGAGTCTACACTGAGCACATACAGATTTTTCTTACTAATTATTCCCCGAACAATACAGATGACAGCTATTCACATACTGTTCGGGTTATGTCACGCCTGCCATTCTAAATAACCTCGAGCCGACATAGGGGCATATGAGTAGGTGACATATGCAAACAAGGTCTATGAGCGGCTTGAGTACTGAGGGATTTTGCTGCTTTTTGAGGGGTCTTGAACCTGTTCCCTCTAGACATCCAGGAGTGACTGTGAGAAACTTAGATAAGTTCTTTCATTTCTCCAAACCTGTTTTCTAACTGAGTACTAGGGCTAGTGATAGCAATATTACAGGAGGGTTGACAGATTAGGAGAGCTCATGTCTACAGAGCACTTACATCAGTGTGCAGCCAACAACGGAAACTAATAGACAGCAAGTGTCCTTATCAGCAGTTCCGTTGGTTCTTCTCTAGAGTCCAGTGGGGAAGATGTTTCAAGCCTAACGCCTTTTTAAGAATCCTTACACTCTCGCCAGCAGGGAAGTTATAGGTTATCTTCACTCTGTTTGGCATAGACCCATTATGGCTGCTAGCAAAACTGGATTGGTCATTAGGTGTCAAGTTCAATTTCTTTGTAGATTCAAGAGGTAAAAGATGAGCAAAACTTCATAAGCTGCTCAACAGAAGTCCCAAGATGCCAGCAGTAACCTTTCCCATGATGTAAATCCCATGAGGCTGGTCCTGGCACATTATAAACACCAGTTCCCAGTTATCGCTCCAGCAGAGTTTGGAACACTTCCTTTCCTTTCTTTTTTTCTTTCTTTCTTTTCTTAAGACAAAAAGCAGTCATAGTTACCTCGTCGCTTTTTCTGTTGATTTTCACATTATCATAGCACAGGGACCTTGGGTTCAGCATCATCATCTCCTCTGTGTATTGTTGGTTATTTTCTCCTTTCCCGGAGACAAGAGTCTCCTGTGCACTTGGCAGAGAAGAAAACCTTGTTGGTGAGTAGATGCTCTTTAGTATGTTCTGGTTTGATGGTTTGCCCTGAGGTTGGGTTATACCTCAGACCTTTTCCCTATGAAGCATCCCCATTTTCTGATCCATGCATCCTGTTCAGCACAATTGCCAGCTCCCAATTACAACAAACAGATGCCTGAGTGTTCACATGTCTCACCATGCTTTTAAATAGCTTTACTGAACTGAGGTGTACGGACTGTGGCAACAGCTCACTTGTCACTGATTGGAAGACCTTTCTCGGTCACCTAGGTTTTCCTTCTGAAACCCAGAGCTCTCATGGGTTCCTAGAATCAGCCTCCAGCCAGAGGTGCCTAGTGGCTCCTGAGACTTGTCACCAAACAAAAGCAATGTTTCCTTGGGACCCTGACGTGGGGCATCAAGTGCGTGTCCTAAAAGGGATTCACAGAGCAGGAGAAGGAAATGTGGTCTCAGAATGGACAGGGATGTAGTCAGTAGGCCCAGCAAAAACAGAAGAACTAATTTGATAATAATGAACACAGTCTGACAAATAATTTGATGTGCTGGCACCATGCCAAGAAGTCTACTCCTTCTCAACCAGCTGGTCTAGGGTGTTTGCTAGGTGCCAGTACTGTGCGAGTCATTCAGCAGGCGCTAACGGACCCCTTATCACCACCAGTGCATGCAGCCTCTGATTCTCAGGTCGGGTCCTTGAGATCATCGGGTTGAGAGCACCATTCCACTTTGGGCTAGGGGTCAAGTCTAGGGATCCTCATACAGAGACTGGAAACTATGAGTCAATGAGACTGAAGTTGGTGGTAATTGACACTGGATATGAGTGGCCTTTCCCAGAGGACAACTCCCTAGGAGAGGTGTATAAATGTGTTTAGATTGGGGTATTTTATAGCTCTCAGGGAGAAAATTCCCTCTCCGAATGGGACAGCGGTCAATTTAATGTACATTATCAGAACACTGTGATCTTGGAAACTGTAATATGGATGATGATGTGGGAAAGCATTTTATGTATGTATGTGTGTGTATATATGTGTGTATGTGTATGTATGCTTGTGTGTGTATATGTATGTATATATGTATGTGTGTGTGCATGTATGTATGTATGTGTGTGTGTGTATGTATGCACTGTTTTTTCAAGACAGGGTTTCTCTGTGTAGGTCTGGCTGTCCTGGAACTAGCTCTGTAGACCAGGCTGACCTTGAACTCACAGAGATCCTCCAGCCTCTGCTTCCCAAGTGGGATTAAAGGTATGCATCAACCACACCCTGCTGGGAAAGCATTTTATAATGGCAAATATGTAAATCTGAGAGAGTTGTTCCTATCTTCTCAGATGCAGGTCTTTGGGAATGTGACTGGAGTGGCCTTAGAGCTGTTGACTAGGAATGCTGGGCTTCTAAGGTGAAGTCACCTAAGTCTTCCAATGGCAACAATGCCTTAGACCTAGGCCTTGCTCCAAAGTATACTGTATCTTTTAAATTATGTTAAGAAGACCTATGAGTGGCAAGCAAAACCACAGAAAGGAGCTCAACATCACTGATCTTTAGAGAAGTGCAGACAAAGCCGTAACAGACCCACCTCAAACTCATTAGGGCGCCTATTAACAAGAGAACAAAAATTAACAAACATTGGTGAGATGTGAAGAAATCAGAAATTCATGTTAGAGCCAGGCGGTAGTGGTGCACCCCTTTAATCCCAGCACTTGAGAGGCAGAGGCAGGCGGATCTCTGTGAGTTTAAGGCCAGCCTGGTCTACAAGAGCTAGTTCCAGGACAGGCTCCAAAGCTACAGAGAAACCCTGTCTCGAAAAACAAAAACAAAACAAATAAGCAATCCCCCCCGAAAAGAAATTAATTGTTGGAGAGAATGATAAATAGTACAACCATAGCAGAAAACAATGCCAGGCCAAAATAGAATCCCATATGATCCAGAACCCTTACTCATGGTAGACAGATGGCCAACAGAATGAAAGCAAGAACCAGAGGAGATATTTGTACCTGTCTGAGTATCAGCACAACTGACTGTGGCCCAAAGATGAAGACAATGCAAGTCCATACACATTGGAAGACAAACAGGTACGACATGGTATGTACATTTGAGCACTACTCAGCTTTAACATTTAGGAAGGGCCTTCGGATGCATGCTACATGGATTAAACATGACGGCTATGCTAAGTGAAAATATACCATAAAGACAAATATTATGTATGAAGTACATAAAGTCGCCCACTTTATGGGCAGAAGTAAGTGGTGGTTTCCAGGATTTGGGGCAGGGGAGAGAAGGGAGTCATCTTTCAATGAGTATAGAGTATCATGTTGGCAAGATGAAGAGTCTTAGAGACAGTGCCCAAGATATGAATATGCGAACACCACCAAACTGTGTGCTTTAAAATGGTTAAGATGCCGAGCGTTGGGGGTTGGAGAGATGGCTCAGGGTTAAGAGCATGCTCTTTTGGAAGACCAGGGTTGCATCCCTAGCATCCACAAAGCAACTCACAAATGTTTATACCTTAAGTTTCTGGGGGACTGGACACCCTCTTCTGTAAACTAGGAATAAAACTGTCCTTCCCTTGTCTCAGATGTTCATTATACAGACTGCATAAGGTACAAGTAACACCCAGATCAGCGCAGCACATGCTAATTACTCTTACATACTTAGAGAGGAACTTTCTGCTTCCTAGGCAGTAGGTTATTGTTTCATATTTATTTATTTTTGCCAGAAGAAACTTAAAACAACTCCCTCAAGTTGGAAAGCCAGGAAATGGTCACAATAGGTTTCACAGTCAAGCCACCTGACTCACAGCCTATGTTCTTAGCCACCGGGATCCACAGGCTTTTCACACAGGGCTCTTTGATGCCTTTTGACATTTAAATTGGGTTTCATGTCTGAAAGTGGAGAAAACCATCAGTGAGTGGAGAATGGGGCCAACCTTTTCAGGAGTGATAGCAGAAATGGAAATGCCTCTAAAATGGGTTAAGGTTTCACATGAGGCTCCTGGGGGACCTGTCCCACAAGAGCAAGGTTTGGCTGTGAGTTACAAGTGAACTATGAGAATAGAGTCCAGCATCGCTGGTCTCTAATCCTTGCTTTGGGTCCCCTGTTGGACTGCAGTGGGGGAGCAAACCCAAAGATGGTAGGCAGGCCGGAGGTGTGACTTACCGGCCGGGGCAGACTGTATTGGTACATTTCTGGGCGGTAGGTGGGCACCCACTGCACTCCAGCCCTGGGCCGGGTCATAGTCCCTGGAGCGCTGGTCACCACCTCTGAGTATGGCAGGTGCTGCGTAGAGCCGTAGGCCTCCGGGTGCCGGCTTTGGCCCGCGTGGCCGGCGGATGCCAGGCTGAAGGCCTCCTCCAGAAGCATGTGCATCTGTTGCCGGACTTCGTCGATGGAAGGCTGCGAGCTCAGCGTGGAGGTCTCTGAGTGGCCCTTCACCTGCCGCGCCCTGCCGTAGCCCCGGGGCTCATGGACTCTGTCGACATTGGTTTCCTCTATGATCTCGGGCTCAGTCTGTGGGATCAAACAAAGCCCAGCGATTTATTAATGAAACTCTTTCTTGGATCCTAAAGTATTCCCTGGGACTGAAGAGATATCGAGTCTGTGCTAACTTAGGCCATATCCAATGTGCTCTCTCTAGGAATTCCCACGGCAGGAGCAGCTGGCTAGGGTTACACAGGAAAGACAGCACTTCGACCGCCATTGTAGTCTACAGATGTCCCCACAGCTACACCAGCCCTGCAGACTTGCTAATTAGCATAATAATGATAAGTGGCTCACACTGATTAAATTAATGGCATTCTCAAAATCTAGATGCCTTTGGGTATAAGAATCTGGAGCATTCCGTAGTCTATACCCCAAAGGATGGCAAGTCACTCTAACTGAGCCTTGGTCTAGCCATTGATTAGGGGATTCCTGGTTTCCTGACTCCGTTTATTATGCAGAGCAACACAGTCTTCCTCCTGCACAGATGATCTCCAGGTAAAATGCGACATGAACAAAAATCCCCGAATGGGGCCCTGCAGCCTGCTTTCATGAGCAGGCCAGGAGATCCTGATGCCTGCTCAGAGTGTGAGATCTATTGTTCTAGAACACTCTTTTACCTGCACCCACGCTTCAGGGAGTAGGGGCAGAACTGAGGGGGATAGACAACGGGATCTCATTAACTTCCAGAGAGGTCTCCAGTCAGTTAGCTCGCCTGTTGTTGAAGGTGTGTTTAGTAGATTGTACAGCCTACTCTGCGGGTTGCCTGTGAGGGCTCCTTCTTCACCAGTTCTATAAAAGCGTTCACTCTGTCATGGCAGCCGTGCACAGAGTTCAGAAAGCAAAAAGCAGGAGCAAGGGACGGCTCAGGCGGTACAGTCCGCTGCCCCACAGCAGCTACTAAGGGCCAGATTTAGGCTACTCCGAGAAGCTAAAAATGAGGGCGTTAGAGATGTCCCAGCCAGGAAGCTGCTTTCTTTTCACTTCTTCATGTGTAAAAGGATGGTGCATTACCTCAGAGGGCCACACAAGGATTCAGTGAATGTCTCTGTGAAGATTTAGAACCAGCGGCACAGGGTACAGACCGGCTAGGCGCCATCATCAGCGCTCCCATCACCGTGATTGCTGTTACTCATGCAAGTTCTCATGAATTTGAATTACTATGTATGAGGCACTTGGCTGTGTCAAATAGACACTGCAGGAAGATATCAGTAGGGAATTCATTCGCACAGGGAAGTCCTGCTCTCAGACATCACGGAAGTCAGAGTTGTGATGTATTCATGTTTGCACTGGATAGTTCTACGTCAATTTGACACAACTAAAGTCACCTGAGAGGAGGGGGCCTCAGTTAAGGAAAATGACTGATAAGATCAGGCTGTAGGCAAGCCCATAGGACATTTTCCTAATTAGTGATTGATGGGGGAGAGTCCAGCCCATTGTGGTTGGTGCCATCCCTGGGCTGGTGGTCCTGGCTTCTATAAGAAAGCAGGTTGAACAAGCCAGGGGAAGCAAGCCAGTAAGCAGCACCCCTCTGTGGCCTCTGCATTGGTTTCTGCCTCCAGGTCCCTGCCCTGCATGAGCTCCTGACCTCCTTCAACGATAGACTAGTCATGGAAGTGTGAGCCACATAAACCCTCCCTCCACACTTGCTTTTGGCCATGGAGTTTCATCCTGACTAGGATGGTGTTTTAAAAGCACGCTCACTTTTCTTTAGTATTGAATTAGTACATACACATTAGTGAGGAAATTAAAAACGCAGACAGCACAACAAGAAATCACACCTTTCTTTTACTCTCATTACCTAGAGTTAGGACTTGTAGGTAGTTCAAGATCAAGATTAGGACTCTCCACATACCTTCAAGACTAGATTTACTAGCAAACAACTATAGTAAGCAATTTCAAATATTATTTTTTTTATGTTAACATATCCAAAAGCAGATCATAGGATAGGACATAAAATTGTACCCTAAACAAGGATATGTCAGGCCGCTGAGACTTTTTTAGAGAAAGACCTGCGATCTGATCATTGTCTGGGAAGTGGGCCAGCAAATCTGTTAAGATTTTGCCTAAAAGGAAGTTTCTGTATAATGCAGAGAACATTTGAAATTGAAGTTCCAACGCCTTGGGGTCTTTAAGTCAAGCTCCACTGTAAAGGAGAAACTGAGGCCAGAGCAGTTAAATCATTGGCTCAAAGTTGCCTGGAGTGGGCGTGTTGCCCTGGGCATATCCCACTGTGCAGAACGGACTCATCAATGCTGGTTGCTACCCACACATGGTCTTCCTCCCTACATCTTCATAATACATAATGATGCTTAACGCCAGATTACTCCCAGGTGAGAGATTAATGGCCCTGAGGTGAGCGGAGCTACACATCTGCAGTCAGAAGAGAGAATATGTCCTTCTGTGAATTTATAGTGTGTGTTAGGCAGGGCAAGAGAGCACTTTTCGGTAGCATATCTTACTCTCCTCCGGAAGATGCCTGGGGTGGGGCTGTGCAATGCAGGAGGGGGGCAGGGCACCTCTCTGAGCTGGGTTAGAGAGGGATAGCACTACCTTTGCTCCTGCTGCCACCTGTCACCGTACTGCCCCAGCAGAAGTTAACGCTTGATTCTTACAACAGGGTTTCCACCCTGCTCAGGCTTCCTTTACTCTCAGTGTCCAGTGTCAGGGTCCACGACCGTCAAAGACTCTTGTTCTGCCCCAGTTCTCAGATGGCTTTCAGCCTTTCCACAGATGGAAACAAGACTTAGCTCCCACCCACTCCTGCTTATCCCGGATACACTTGCATTTGTTCAGTGTCTGTCTTGCTCCCCACCGGACACTCTGAACCCACGGCACTTCCGTTTCTCATGAAGTCACCATAAGGCACTTGGCATTCAATAATATTTTGAGACTTGATCTGGCTTTAGAAATTCCATCCAGTTGCCCATGGGGGTGTGTCTGAAGTTAAGATGGAAGGTCCGCTTTCTTTATCACAATTCCTGTGCTAATGAGCTGTATGACACACGGGCAAGCTGCATGGACTCCCTGGGACTCAGGATGCCGCTCTCTGTAGTTCAACTGAGCTACTACCTGGCATTTACCATCTGCCCTGGCTAGTTTTATGCCAACTTCACACAAGCTAGAGACATCTGAAAGGAGGGAACCTCAATTGAGAAAATGTCTCCATAAGATCCAACTGCAAGACATTTTCTTAATTAGTGATTGGCAGGGGAGGACCTAGCCTTTGGTGGGTGGTGCCAACCCTGGGCTGGTAAACCCAGGTTCTACAAGAAAGCAGGCTGAGCAAGCTATGAGAGCAAGCCAGTCAGCAGCACCCCTCCATAGCTTCTGCATCAGCTCCTGTCTCCGGGATCCTACCCTGCTTGAGTTCCTGTCCTGACTTCCTTCAGTGATGAACAGTGCTGTGGAAGTGTGAGCCAAATAAACCCATTACTCTTCAAGTTTCTTTGATCATAATGTTTCATCATAGCAATATAATCCTTAGCTAAGACACCGTCTCCTGAGCTCCAGCAGCCCTAGCAAGTGCCAAATCCCTCCTAACACTAGTCCCTGGAGCCATCTGACGTCCACTCAGGAAGGGAACACCTTCCATGCCCTCTGCTTGCAGCATAAGCCAGAGGTTTCTTTTCCTCAGGGGACAATTACTGCTTTCAGCCCTTAGTTGTGTTTTAGACTTCATTATGATTATACCTATTAATAAAAATGTGACCTGGCCCTGAAGGAGTATCTACAGGGGAGACAAATAACAACAGTAATGATATCAACTGTCACTAGTCTCTGAACTGTGTATACATTGACCCTTCTTACTCTTACAATAACCCATGTAATATTAATGAGTATGATTATTTTTATTGTACAGATGAGCAAATTGAGGCATTGAAAAGTCCAATAGAAAGCCCTTATCCACTGTACATATACAAATAAATCTCTTACCACCTGGTAGTTGTGTGTTCTGACCAAAACCAGAATAGACTTCTGAGACAAGGACAGAGATACAGTAATTACTAAGATTATCTCAGAGAGCATAGGATAAAAGCATCAGTATATAAATGGAAGTGCTTAGCAGTAAATCTGGCAATAAACCTGGCTCCTCAGTGGATGGACCACTCCTCTGGGGCCCCACCTTTATCTATTGAGTTACGACACCCATATCCCTCAGTTCAGGGCTGCTTGTCTAAAGTCACTGATTGGCCGTCAAGTGAAAGAAATCCACTCAGTAAGTACTCATGTATGCTGGCCCTGTGAGGAGTCTACCATATGTGTTGCCTTGCTTAGCCTCACAGGGACATATAACAGATGTGTCCATTTTCAGATGAGGGAGACCATGACCACTGTCTTACTTGGTACAGTAGTTTGAATGTAATTGGCTCCTATAATCTCATAAGGAGTGGCACTATTAGGAGGTGTGGCTTTGTTGGAGTGGATATGACCTTGATGGAGGAAATGTGTCACTATGGGACAGGGTTTGAGGTTTCCTATGCTCAGGATACTGCCCAGTGTCTCAGCTGATGTCCTGTTGCCTGCAAGATGTAGGACTCTGAGCTATTCCTCCAGTACCACATCTGGCTATATGCTGCCATACTCCCTGCCATGCTGATAATGGACTGAACCTCTGAAACTGTAAGTGAGCCCCTTAAATTAAATATTTTCCTTATAAGAGTTGCCATGGTCATGGTGTCCTTTCATAGAATAGAAACCCTAACTAAGACACCTGGTCCTTGCCCCTTTCCTTCACGAATGATTGCTTATGAACATGGCTTATGCTTTGAGATACAGAAGTAAAGTCTTCCAATATTGGCTGATGGCTGGCTTGAGTCCAGTGTCTGTCTGGAGCCAAATTTGGGATAAAGAATGTATTTTTAAGCCCATTTAACTTGAAAGTTAGCATATTTGCTTCTCAACTTCATATTGAAAAGATCCCGAGAAGCTATTTTTATAAGTTAATCAAGATATACTCCAACAGAAATTCTAAAAAGAGAAAAAACAATCAAGGAATGACTAATAATAATAAAATAGAACACAGAGAT